CGCCGCCCTGCCTTTTTGCAGTCCCAGTTGTGTTTCTGACTCTTGCTTTGCCCTCAGAGGGAACAGGCACCTGCTCTGAGCTCTAAACACTCTCCAGTTCAAACCAGACCCTGATCCAAATTTTGCAGATGGTCCTTACATCACGAATGATCTTCCTCTAACTTGGACACGGGTAAGCAAAGATCTCAGCTCATTCTCACCCATAGCTGACGCATGACAGAGTTAGGAAAAGCAGATGCCCGCTGCGTTGCAAGGCTCATCCATGTGGGAGACGCTGCATTTTGCTTAAGAATCTGTGCTCATCTCAGGAGCTTGCTGTAGGCCCCAGGCAATAACTCACCCCATGGCCGTTGCACCGGGAAACACACTTTTCCAGCTCAAAAAGGGAGGCATTCTGGCACCGGCGATCTTTGCAAACCTGAGAGAGAGCCAAGATGCTGAGGTTAGAGAAAGACCTGAGAGAAGGGGGACAGTGATCTTCTGGCTTCACAGGTGGGAGTCCTCAGGAAGGATGCTGTCCGTTGCAAAATGCAGGTTGGTTAAATCATACTGTTCCAGGTCAATGCATTTCATTCCAATTTTCAGCACAGCCCAGGAAACCTCTGCCGTTCCCCCATCCAGGATGGCTCAGCGGACACCAGCCACCACCACTCCCACCCCCCTCCCCTGACAGCCCACCTGGCAGCTCCTGGAGATGGAATTTCCCACCTGCCTCTAAACCACAGGCACCAGGCAAAAACACTGGATTTCAAAACCAGCCATCTTTTCTCATGAAAATGTTGACATTTTGGCCTTCCATCCCAAACCAGGATGAAAATTTCACATTTAAAACAACAAATAGCAAAGGCCATATCTCCGCAGCCAACTCTGTCTGGCATGCATCCCTGCTACCGTGTTGTCCACCAGGCTTCTGCCCTTTCTCAGCTGAACTGACCCTCTGTAAAGTACTTGGAGATGCAGTAAAAAAACCCTAATGCTCACTTAGCAGCATCTGTTTGGACCTGCCGTCTGGCTTCCTAACACAGCTTTCCCCTGGGAAACAGTTCATTCATAGGAGGAAGCCTCATCCACCACATCCGGAGGCATGTCCTTAGGGCAACAAAGCTGGTGAGGGGTCTGGAGAACAGGTCTGTGAGGAGCGGCTGAGGGAACGGAGGTTGTTTAGTCTGGAGAAGAGGAGGCTGAGGGAAGACTCTCTGCAACTGCCTGAAAGGAGGCTGTAGTGAGGTGGGGTCAGTCTCTTCTCCCAAGTAACAAGCGATAGGATGAGAGAAAATGGCCTCAAGCTGAGCCAGGGGAGGTTTAGCTTGGACATTAGGAAGAATTTCTTCACTGAAAGAGTCATCAAACATTGGAACAGGCTGCCCAGGGAGGTGGTGGATTCACCATCCCTGGAGGTGTTCAAAACACGTGTAGATGTGGCACTTGGGGACGTGGTTTAGTGGGCACGGTGGTGTTAGGTCAACAGTTGGATTTGATGATCTCAGAGGTCTATTCCAACCTAATGATTCTATGATTCTGTGTAATTCTTGTTGGGGTTGCTCCACCATGCATTAAATCAGTAAAGAAGCATGGAGGCCAGAGAGAAGAATTTGGTGGCCTACAGACAAGCATCTGGTGATGTCTAGAAATGCCCCAGTTGAGATGTCACCAGGGCAACGTCTGCAAGCATGGAGGAGACCATGTCCCATGGCTTGGTTGTAACGCAGAGAAGAGCCAATGTCCACATTGGAGCTGGGATAAGAGCCAAGGAGATGATCTCCTGTAGGAGACACCAGCCCTAGGAAGCGGTACTCACCATCCCATCTCCGCATTTCGTCCCTGTCATCACCAGCCCAGGGTCGGAGAGGTCTTCCTCGTCATCCTTCGCGGTGTACATGTAGGTGCCTCGGCACTTCACCTCCCGCCCGTTGAAGCGGATGGTGGTGTCGATGGAGACAGTGTTGGTCCCCTGGGGCTTCTTAGCTGAGCTCTGGCACTGGATCTTGCCACACATGGCATCCCTAGGCAAGGGGCACAGACGAGGTGAGGGCAGGAGATGTGGGTACTGGCCACCTTGCCCTCCCAGCCCCACCACCCCCTGCCCCACTGCCTGCTGGCTCATCTCCCTCTGAATTTATGACCATGTTGGGTTGTGATGGGAGAGGCTCAGCAGGTTCAGAAAGGACTTGGATAAATCATGGAAAGCACAGAGAAATGCTGGAGGGGACAGGCTGGTGGGGGGTCCCTCTTACATCCCTAGTCTAACTGGGAATACTGGAGAGCACATGCTCCTTAAATAGCATCTCCTGCTGATGCTGTCTTTGATTTTCCCTTTAGGCTGGGCTGGGAGGTGATGCACAGTGGGACAACCTCCCAGTGGTGATGGGGATTGAGCCCAGGAAGGACTTTCTCAGGTCCAAAATGGAGCTGAGGGGTGATGCCAGGAGGCTGAGGTAGGACCTTGCCAGTCCCTTCACAGGGGTGGGCAGCAGGGGGGCTGCAGGTATGGGAGGAGGAGACAGGGCACCCACGGGTGCCAGCGCTGCACTCACCTCTTTTCGCATTTCACATAGCGCCCATGGCTGTCTTTGCCGCAGTTGCCGTAGGTGTTCCCAGCCATGTTCACGTCCTGGAAACAGGCATCCGGGGCTGGCCAGGCACCTGCAGAGAGGGAGGAAAGGCCCCATGTGGGATGGGGAAAGCAGCCAGCAGGGAGAAACGCTGAAACCAGGAGCGGCAGCTGGATGCTCACGGAGAAAACACCACGGAAAGGTCTCTCGGCGAGCTGCTGCTGCAGATGCCAGACCAAGAACAGCACAAGAGGGGTGAAATTCTCTTTGCTGCAGGGTCTTGCAGAGGATTTTGGTCCTGGGGGAGGATTCCCCACTGCGCCTGCTGCAGATTTCCTGGGGCCACCCACAGGTGCTGGCCCTGGGGGTGACAGCACTGCTATGCAAATGGGGACCTACGTGCCCTGTACGGGGTGGGAGCAGTAGAGAGGTGCCCATGGGTGCCACAGCGGGGTGTTGGAAGTGGGGGGTATGGGGACTAGAGCGCACACAAGGGGCAGGGTGCAGCACGTGTGGGGCCCTGGGGGCCATACACAGCAGGTTGCCCTATGGAGCACATGAACTCTGGGGGGCCATATGCAGGGTGGGGGGCTGTATGCAGCGTGGGGGCCGCGCGCAGCCTGTGTGTAGCCATACGTAGTGCGTAACCGTACAAAGGATCTGTCCCTAAGCGCTATGGACGCTGTGTACACTGCAAGGGGCACATCACCTACGTCCCACATGCAGTCCAGAGTCAGGGTGAGGGTCCTAGGCAGAACGTGGGCTAACTAAAGCGAGGAGGCCACGTACAGTCTACGTAGCATATGAGCTGCACGCAGCGCTGGAGCCACACGTAGAGTACGGGCTGCCCTACAGCGCGGAGGTCGCTTGCAGCAGGCAGAGTGATGTGCAGCGTGGGGATCATCCGCTGCACGGGGCTGTACGCCAAGTATGGGCAGTGTGGGGACCACAAGACGCGCACAGCAGAGGACCAGGCACCTGTAAGAGCGCGTGCACAACACCCCCAGCCCTCCACACCAGCCTCAATGATGCTGACCCCAACCCCGGATAGGGACAGCACAACCCCTCCATCCACTACCCTCCAGCCTCACGGGTAGGGGCCACGGGAACCCCACTGTGCAGACACGGCGCTGAGACCCAACGCGGCTCCTGCGCCGAAGACGGGTGGCAAGGAGGGTGACGGGACTCACCTGGTCCCCAGAGCTGGACGCACTGCTGGTGGTGGGTCATGCACATGCCGTTGTTGCAATAAGCCTCGCCATAGGCGCAGGATGAGCCATCCAGCAGGTACACGTTGGCCGGGCAGTACGGCGAGGCACCCGTGCAGTATTCAGGGAGGTCACAGGATCCTGCTGCTTCCCTGCAGATTGTCCCAGCCACCTTTAGCTGCCGCAGGAGGAAAGAGAAGCATCAGCACCGAGCGGCAGCAAAGGGGCCAAGTGGAGATTGCTGCTGCCTCCCAGCACAGCTTGTGGCCATAAACCATTGGAATATGAGTCAGCAGTGTGCCCAGGTGGCC